ACACTGGCTAAATGCCTTGATGTCCCTTTTGCTATCTGTGACTGTACGACTTTGACTCAGGCTGGATATGTAGGTGAAGATATTGAATCTGTGATTGCCAAACTGCTCCAAGATGCCAATTATAATGTAGAAAAAGCGCAACAAGGTATGTTTTCGGCATAGCTTGTCTGTCCCCAAATGTAGTTTATTAGGGTTGCAATCTAATATTGAGATAGTACTGAGTCAAGGACTAAAATTCTGTAGTTACGTAGGAGTACCTGTGTTATACGCTTTTAACACACTAATTAAGGGCCATGAAGTTTGCTTTGCTTTATTGTCACTAAGATGGCAGCTAGGGTGAAAGGCCAAATGACTGTTCCATTGGGTCCTACTACTATCATTGTTTTTCCTGTTTTGACTTCTCTCCAGACCCTTAATGCTGGGGTTGGGGCAGGGCGGCGGCAAGGGTAGGAGAGAGCAGTATGAGTATAGAAACGGTTTAGCCTGTTGACCTCCAGGATGTCATAGATGCTGAATTTCTCCTTTCCCCATCTTCTCTCTGTCCTTGTTTACATGAAGACCTTGACAGTTCCTGTCTGAATTTCTTTAAGACAAGAGTATAGGTGGGGAAGAGTAAGCTAAAGTTTTGTTAGTACCAACACTGCATATATTTCCTACTTCCACGCTATACCTCTATCTCAGCTTCCTGCAATAAAGAACCTGAAAATACTAGTGGGGTAGAACACTATTGTCAAAGTAGTTATCATGCCCAAATGATATTGTATATAAAACATTTGCACAGAATGATGAATGAGAGATATAGCAGTGTATTTTTTTTTAATATCAAGCCATTGCCTCTGTTAAGTGTGAAGCATTGAATAACCTTGCTCTCTAGCTACCTGGTCTTTTAAAGCTGAGGTTATCTTGTGTGTATCTTCTTCATATTATAAATAGAATCCTCCTTAAATTATAGGAATTGTCTTTCTGGATGAAGTAGATAAGATTGGCAGTGTGCCAGGCATTCATCAGTTACGGGATGTAGGTGGAGAAGGCGTTCAGCAAGTAAGCAGTTGAATATTTTGTTCAAGCCCACTAAAAGGAAGGGAATACATCAGCCTCCCAAATATTGTACGTTTGGTTTCGCATTCAATTAGATTCTGTTTTATTTTTCCCACCCTGAACTCCATGTACCATTTAAAAGTAGTTCACATCCTAAGATAAGGTAGTTGTTGGCTATTTTAAATATCAAATTGCCTTTCTTAGGAAAATAAAAATATATTTTGAAGAACAGCAAAGATGAAATTCCTGCTTTGTTGTTTTTATTCCTCAAAGGCTCAGTTGTGTTTCTAGAGGAAAGTTCTGGTTCTAAATAGACATGAATGAACTATGTACATATTTTTCATTTCTTGCACTTAGTTAGAAGATAGGTATAAGATAGTGTTTCATTCCTTGGAGAGTTGTAATTGAAGTCCTAATGATCAGTTGGCCAACTTGACCTTTTAATGGTAACTAATTATGGCATAAACTAAAGGGTGAGGAAAATTGCTTCAGTTTTTCTGACTGACACATAAAGCGGTATGATCACACTTATAAATGTGCTGGATAATTTGTTTATAAAAACGTCTCAAAATATAGGTATTCTGAAAATCTAAGACTAGGATTAGAATAGAATTTCAATTTATGTGAAAGACCAATCTTCAACTATTTTCAAATTTAGAGTGTTCCCACTATAGGGGGGTACCATCTTATAGAGTCAATAAAGAATTACGTTTTTATCATCAAGAACAACATCTCAGGTTGACTGCTTCCTGAGTTATAATGCATCAGGAGTCCTGTAACCAACCCAAATAAATGTATGGATTCTAAATGTGATAAATGCATTAGATCTTCATGTTAGTTGTGGAAATGTGGGAATTGTAGTTAT